CAAAATTGTTTTAGTCTAATAAAAAGACCACTGTGTGTGTGTGTGTGTGTGTGTGTGTGTACTGGGGAGACACAATCAGGTTATGAAGACATACAGTAGGAGCAAGCACATAATCACAAATAGGCAAGCAAATCTCACAAAACACAAGCATAGACATGACACACAAAGCTGTGCACACATATGTTTGGAACAGACTGCTAAACGAGCACTGAGCCAACCAGTCTGTGCAAAACTCAACACACAGACTTACAGTATATCAGGGGTGTCCAATCCTGGTCCTCGAGGGCTGCTACCCCGCATATTTTACTTGTTTTTTCTGGTCCAACACACCTGATTCATTGGCCGAACTACCTCCTCAAGTTCTGCAGAAGACTTTTAATCATCTATTCATTCAAATCAGGTGAGTTGGAGTAAAGAAACCTATAAAACATGCAGAATGTTGGCCCTCGAGGATCAGATTTGGACACTGTTATTACATAGCACTGAGCTGAGTGGGACTTATGTGTTTTTATTCCTTTAATAACAGATTATTTTTCCAGTGTAAAATATATTTCTGTCCAAGGACAGCCCGTGAAAACTTCTGTTTGAACAATTTGCCATATTTCAAAAGTTCTGACCTCAGCCAGTTTATGCTGTGGTGAAATGTGAGCAGTGGTAATGAAGTGTAGACCTGTCTGTCTGGCATTTTGCACTGCAGGGAACTTGTCGATCGCTTGTTTTGCTGTCCACAGTGCAACTTTTGTTACCATTGTACTCCAAATTTCAGGAGGTATATGTCACATCTTTAGAAGGACGCCTCACATGGCTGGCAGCACTGACATCTAAAGTATCAGCAATTATCTTATTATCTGTGTACAACCTGCTGCACAGCATACTGGATAGGAAGACAGTGATTTAACAGTTTTTTTTTTCTTGTTCAGCAGCTTTTGACAGGTTTTGTTCTTGGACATAATGCCAAAGAGTTTGTTTTGTTTTTGTTTTTTGAAACTCACTGACCGACTTTTTATGCTAAAAAAAAACCCTTACGACATAACAAATCAAGATGTGAAAGGTGTACTTTAAGCATAACAAATAATCTTACTGGTACTGTCAAAGAGGATTGTCAATCTACAGTATACTAGCTAGAGGTGACTTCATGAACAGAAATGCACTAGCTCCATTTCTCAGAATATGAACCTTGTCACCTATGCAGGGTTCACATTGTGTAAACACAAAAGATTAAAATTTGTTGTTAAATACTTGCAGCACTTCATACAGGTACACATCTTCTTATTTCTGGATGTTGTTTTTCTTTTGGCTGCTCCTACCTGGGTAGCCACAGCAAAGAAACAAACAAAAAAACTTGCATCTAAGATTTGGGAATTGTTCTAATTTACCAAAGGCCCTTCCTGATGCAAGCTGGCCTATAACCTGCATCCTCGGTATTACAAAACCAGTGCATGGACCGCCAAGCTATCTGTGGAAAATCTGTGTAATATGAAGATTTAAAAATGTGACAAATTTTTAGGCCTCTTTCACATTGAATGATTATTCTGCTAGGCTGCAATCTACACAGTTTATTAGACCATGGTTATATTGCAACAGGTTTGGAAAACCTTCAGCGTGAATACAACCAAAGACACTAGTACTCATCAAATAGGTTTTTCCTGCTTTTGTCTACATAAGACATTGTCCTGAACTCTCACTATGGTCTATACGTCCAGGCATTACTCTCTCATCAGGATGCAGCTATGGGTACCATATTTGTCATGATCCCAGTCATACCCTTTTATCAGTTATACCTTAAATTCTTGATGACCAAGACATGGTAGTGCTCGCAGGCTTTGTGTCATGAATTTCTTGTCACCACGCGCCTCCCATCAGTGATGGGCAGTGCTAATCCAAAAAATTATCTCTGCAATTTCTAAAGTGCTTATGAAAATTTTTAGGTCAGCAACTTAAAAAGCACTTATACCATAGAAAACCTAGCAGAAGTTAATTTTAAAGCACAAGTTCAATTTGACACTTACTAGCTGGCAATAATTCATGTACAAAATTTGCACAATACTGCCAACTAGAGGTGCATGGATTTTTTTACAGCTTAATCCTACAAATGCCGATTGCTGGGGATGTGATTTCATGAAACAGACCTTTGGCTCCTGGTGTAAAAATTAAAAAGTTGTTGAGGATTGCTAGTTCGGCTGCTTCTTTGTCTTTTTCTTTTGTTTATTGTAGATTTTTCATTAAAGAAGCATCAAAAAAGTAATTTTAAAACTGTTTATTGGAAAACTGAAGTGATGCATTCTGGGTACATGACGGATTTGATTTGTGATGGGAAACGAAAGCACGGGGTACAGGAAACTAGCTTCACTTCAAAATAAGAGCTTGGATTTTAAAGTTTTCCATACTTTTGTTGTTGCTCCGGTTGACCACTAGATGTCTGTCTTCATCAGCATAACATCTTTAAATCACTTCTGCGTCCCTTCAGCTAACCCCGTTGGCCGATTGCTTCAACCGATTATGTCAAGTATTGAGCTCCAGTGTTTAAAATTTCTTTTTTAAAAAAAGGAGCTCCGATTGTAAAGTAAAATAAATCAATACATACAAAATTTTTGTATGGATTACAAACATTAACTGTTTTCGCACGGTCACATAGTTCTAACTATTGCCTTCCTGTTACATAAGCAGACACAAAGCATTGTGGGAAATGTCTGTAAAATGAGAACTGTGACCGAAAGCAACAGTCAGCAAGGACGTACGTATATCTTCCCAATAATTGTGTTGATCTGGGAGGGGTGCTGTTGGATAGATCATGTGTGTTGTGAGTCATTGAGAGCCGTACCTTCTGCTGTTCAAGATAATGATGACTGATTGATAAATAGTTACTAACGGTACTGCATTTTAATTTTAGAAAGCACAAATCCGCTTATGAATTATAATAATTAGTAAGACCGCTAAAGTGCAAACAAAATATTTAGGTCTGCAATTAGATTTGCGCTTTAGCGGGCTGATGCCCAGCACTGCCTCCCATGAAACTGAAATGCTGCCTCCACAGCGATAAACCACCATAGCCTCTGTACAAAAGTTTTGTGTTATGCTCAAAACCATTGTGGACCAAATAAGCTTTGTCGCACAGAAGGATGAGCCCACTGCACTGTTCCTATGCACCTAAAGACCAAAGAACGACACATCTCCACTGAAATACTATAAAATACTCTGTGTGAATTTAAGCCGCCAAAATTTTTGTGTACCAAAAGAACTAGAGTGCATGTGATTCACTGAAGAATCAGGTTATCTCTGGACAACAAAGAGCAGCCTGAGTCTTGTGTCATAGGAGCGATAGGGAAGCCTGTGGTGAATCATCAGCCCTGCCAGACAAGCGAAGCCTTAGACAATTTTAGCTTTGCAGAGGTTTTAATGCCTGAAGGCGATTCTCATATAAATGAAGTCAATGTTAACAAAAAACAGTGTGTGAGCCTGTGCGAGTGTGCCTCCTTGTCTGTGTGAGTGTGGCCCATACAAATCTTTGTGTACAAAGGAAATCGCTGACAGTGAAAAATGGGACCAATTCTAATTTTAATTGCCAATAGAAAATGAAAAAAAAGGCCTCAGTATTTATGGGTTCTGACCAGATGAACAGGAGGAGGAGTATGGCTTAAGCATGACAGCATATTCCTTATCACAATTAAAAAGTGCCTTAACATGACTGCAGCCCTTTGAAGTCAGATTAACAGTAATATTGGAAAGATTGGCCCCAGTTTTGAACAATGAAAGCTGAATATGGAAAAGGAAATTATTAACAGACCCAAAGGTAATGCTTCTTTCCTTTCATTTTATTCTGATTGTGCTGTGTTTTGATAGACTTTTTTGTTGGAAGCAAATTTATTTTATTTTCTTTTTTTACCATGTAATTGCTTCATGTCTACTTTAAGAAAACATGCTTCAAGTCCAACCTAGGGACTTGAAGAACAAACGAATAAAAACAAAATTTGTAAGGCAATTTAAACCTGATTTTCTTCTCCATTTCCATTTATTTGAATTCAGGATTGACATAAAAAATAAAAAGAAAGAAAAATGTGACCACAGCTGCTCCAGAACTGCTATCATTCCAAGACAAATAAACTTCCAATTACAAAATCTGAAGCAATATGTAAAGAACAAAAGAACAGGCATTCATTTATTATTACGCTGAGTTCACATCAGAAGGTAGAAAATGTCATCCAGACAGTCTTTAAATAAGGACATACAAACCCATGGGAAGGTGCAAAAGCTGGAAGTGAGAACAGTGTAATTAAAGAGAACGAGTGGAGACCAAAAGATAAAAAAGGGCTTAACCTCAGGCACAGAAACAGGAAGAGAAAAGAGGAAGGAGAGGTGACAAGGTTGCGAAAAATCCTCCCCCATGTCAATCTTAGAGAATAATGGGAGAGAACAAGGAGGGAAACTGAGGATCAGCTGCTGAGGATATGATGTACATTGTTCATGCAATCAGCTGTAAGAGCACAGAACAGAGAGGGAAGAAGACATAGTCCCAAAATAAAAAAATGGAAAGGAAGGAAAGAAACAGATGTGAAATAGAAGAAAGTGGACAGAGGTACTGTCAGTGTTCAAATCAGAGAGACAATAGAGACCTTGTAACACTTACTTTGACACTCCTGTCAAAACTTTCTCCCTGAATCTCTCTCTGCTGCCTCTGAACGGAAGAAAAAACTGTGTTAACATTCAAGAGTTCTCCGATTACACGCAGAAGCTTCAGCTTTTAGCTTTCAGGTCATAAATGAAAACTAATCCTGCAGCACAGGAATTTTCATTTCTTCTTAGAAAGAAATGCCCAAACTTTATTCAGGTCTGCTCCCTTCATAAATATCGTGCAGCTGAAATGATAAAAGGCCTCAAACCTTTTGCAGTGTTGTATGTGTTTTATTTATGTAAGGTCACAGACAGCAATAATGCTCCTTTTCAGGTCGTGCACTTGTCACATGTTTTACCAGTGTAGGTGTGAGTGTGGTTCTGTGGTAGTGTGGAGGAGGTGTGTGTTGTGTGTTAAACTGCAAAGACACTAACCTTTAAAACTAACCTTAAAAACACCACCTGTGTTCAGTAAAATGTTGTGTCTTCACATGCTGGAACAGAACATGACATGCTCTCACCCCACCAAACAAATACATTAGTAAGAAAAAATAAAAATAAAAACTAGACATGATCTCTGTAGCTGTAACTTCAACTACAGATATATATAT